GTATAATTGTTAAAAAACAAAAAAAATTGCCTTGCATTTTCATTTATTGATTTTGGCATTGTCGCTTCAAATCCAGCGATTGCCGATATCTCTGGTTCCACTTGGAAATCAATAAAAATGGGTGAGGTGGGGAGAATTTTAAAATATTGATTTGATGAAGCTCGGGTATTTGTTCTTGGAAAATAAGTACCGCTCGGAGAAATTGCGGGCTTGTTTGAAAACCTTTTAGATAATTAAAGAATTTGGATGCTCGTCATGGGAAAAACAAATATTTATCCTTGAAAATTAAGTACAGCGCAGAGAAAGTAAAGTACTACTCAGGAAAATGATTTCTTATGATTTGACCATTTTTATAAGTACACTGAAAGCCTATAGTGCTTTTAAAGATAGTGGATTAAATACATATTTTTGTTCACAAACAATACCAGGTCTTTTAAGATAGTTGAGAGAAAAGATATTCTTACGTGCCCCTTAATGGGAGTGTTGATGCCGTGAGGATGCTGAAATTTAGGGTTGTAAATTAGCTTAAAATTTTGGACATTTTGAACTTTTAAAATAATATAAAATGTGGATCATTTTATGTTAAAAATAATTTGAAACTTACTTTTAAAATGTATGATCATAGGGCCTCAAAATAAATAAAATTCGAGCTTTTTAATTTTAAAATCTTATGTTTTAAAAGAACAATAATAAGTTGAATTTAGAAAGACGTTACCAGAATTAACCAAAAAAATCCAATAGAAAAACATAATTTTATCATTTAAAACAGCACAGAAACACAATAAGACACTAATATCCGGCTAGGGCTGGATAGACGCTCAGTGGAGCTTCATGGGTGGATGTTGGGGCTGGTGATGATAGCTGGGATGGGGTGTAGATGGGGATTCAGTGGTCGCTGGAACGTTTAGAGGGCGGACAGCCTAACATTTTTGGTGGGGAAAGGAAAGTGGCAGCAGGATTGGAAACAGAAGGTCTTTCCGATAGTAGCGGGAGGGGCGGCTGGTGAAGCTCGTGACAATAACATGGGAAACAAGAGATTGACAAATACAGGAGGGGATAGGCTGAGGACAACTCAAAACAAGATACAGTCTAAGCGCCACCTACCCTCAGTTACATCCCTAGCAAAGGAGACGCCTGGAGGAAAAAAACAGAAAAAACTAAACCCTAAAACACATAACCAGCCTATATATAGCACTTGGAAAGAATAAGAGGGGGAGGGGGCATAATTGGGGACATGGGCGGCTTCTAGCCCTTTAGAATAGTCAGTCGGCCATGTCCCTTGTTGAACCAATCTTCTACTGAACTGGGTTGGGTCGGTTCAACCAAGCCCAACAACAGTCTCCCGGGATTGGGGAGCTTCGAATGCATTCGTCGAAGCTTCTGGGTCTCCGTAGTATATTGTCACGTCTGCGACATGGGACGTGGCAATAAAGTTGCAGTCCCCTCGCAGGTCGATCTTATAGGCAATATCATTCAACGTTTGAAGTATTTTGGGCCATTCGCTCTATGTTTGAGTATGTTAAATGCTCCTACTAGGAATCGCTCACTTTTCCCCTAGCTTGTTAGCCTGTTTCTTGTACTTGTGATTCTGCTTAGTGATTTCTTTTCAAATCTCTTCGTGGAATTTCTGAATCGCATGCACTCGTTCCTCGGCACTAATCTCTAATGTCGACATAAGTGGTACCAACTTGAGTGTGGTGAAATCAAGTTTAAATTACCTGAAATGGCTCCAACTAGAATTCTAAATGTTTTAATGAATAGCTTAGGAATGTTGCGCTGGTTTAGGCTAAACCTGCACTAAAATATTTCATATTTTGAAAAACAATCAATTGGACCTTCCTGTCTAGAGGGCAGGGTTATAAGTCACGCACAACTATTCTAATCTCCTATTAAAGATTAGAGTTAAGATAAGTCTAGTAAAATCCAAATCACATAGTTTGATTCTCCTCCTTAGAACTAGAGTCGATGTGACTAAAATGCTAAAAAATTTTAAATTGACAAATTTTAAATGAGTCTTTAAGCATAAAAATTGTAAATGCCAAATCCTCGATGGTGATCATATTGATTGTAAATCTCAACCAAATGCGTCAATTTTAATCAAACTTTCAAAGAAAAAAATTAAACATTCAAGTAAAATTAATCACTTAAAACAAATCACATTCATCCTCCGCAACAGATTGTTGAGGGTGACACAATTTTAATTGACTTCAACTCACAAAAAATTAATGTCACATCGAATGTATCATTATATTCACATTAAAAGTAATTTCATGATAGTAAGAATGTGACTTGAGTCCTCTATCCATATGAATTGACCTAAATACTTCATAAAATAACGTTTACGACTAGAGTCATCTGACTAGATAATTACCATCAAATAGCACCATTATGTTACATTCACTGTTGGTTTGTTTCCCAATGAACTTCTACCCTTTAAGTTGTGAATCATAAAAGAAAAACTGACTAACACAAAGTCTTCTATTAGCAAAAGAAGACATAAATTTGTCCCTTAGACAAACATTAACCCAGGTCTACAATGTCCTCTTGAACGAAGCAATTCATGATTGTTGACAAAGATTCTCAAGTCAGCTTGGGTCGACTACCTCCGTTGGCTAAGTAAATCAGGCATCATGACAACCCTAAATGACAGAACCATGGATCTTGATCGTGTTCGCCATTATTTCCACCATAATCAGCTTTTAAGATAATGTTGATAATTTTGTAAATTTCAAATTTAAAATTTTAAATATATTGTTATAAGCTAAGAATCAAAGCAATTAATGACTAACATTAATTGAAAGTTCTCTCCCACTATCTAAAGGAATTAGCCATAGGGGTTCGCACCGATAGGAAACTTTGAACCTTAGATCTTAAAGTCCTCACAAATTGAGGCTGAAATATTTTGGCAGTGTTTTATCTACTATTCAATGTACCTTCTAAAAGTTTGACCCTCAAAGCTCTCTGAACAAACAAAACAAAATAAAACAGAGACTCAGAGGCGTCGAAACTTTTGGAGCCCACACAGGGAACATGGAAAAATTGGTTATGAAGATACCATAAAGTCAAAATATAATCTCTATAGCATCTCTATAGTCAAAAATGATATCTTATTTTCAAAGTCGTTAAGGAGTTGTTTCGTTGCAAGTTTTATAGGTATTTTGTAAAACAAATGCAAGTGTTTTGACAATTCTAATGTTTGGATGAAAGTAAAAAAAAAATTAAGTAATATAAGGCAAACTTAAAATATATCGCCTATCTATTTTTTTACTATTCCAGACTCCCTATAAATTGCTCATGAAGCAAATCACAATCTCACTATCACCTACGTATGATCATGCCAGCATCCTCACCCTAGCAATATGATCTCAATCCCCGCTTACAACCCCATCACATACCTAACCCCCACCACGTAACTTGTCAAGCCCCACTTGAAACATGTCTAGCCTTATCCCATCAGTCCGCCCAAAAATCATCTGTGTTGTCCCCACCCCCATCATTGCTCATAAAGCTCACATTCGCCTCCATCCCTATCACAATTCTTCTAAGAGGCTTAGAATTTTTCAAGAGAAGAGCAGGCCACCCTGCAGTGAAATAAAACTTTCAATTATTATCATCAACTAGAAATTATTCAAAAACCTAAGCAAATCACTATCAAGAAGAACTTAAATTAAAACAATGTTAAATTTACGCTTCTCTATATTGAGCCCCTTATAAACACACGTTTGTCTACGACTCATTTGTACTCAAAATATTTAACATGAAAATGTTATTTTAAATCACAATGAGCTATCTAGCAATAAATTGACATATGTCTAAATCATAGCAGCATTACAAAGGAGAAAACAACACACATCCTAGTTAAATAAAAAGAATCAGCATAAAAATAATTGACATTTTATTATTAAATTTATGACAATAAAAACTTTCAAAGCACACACACACACATATATATATATATATATATATATATATATATATGCACGTGCAAGCCTTGGTCTGTTAGCGGCGAGGTCACTGTAAGTCCTCTCAGGTCAAGGGTTTGATCCCCCATATACACACACATATATATGCGACATGACGGCGATTGGCCTGCTCCTCCTCTCGCAAGCTTTCCTGTTTATCCACACCTCTTGTTTGAGCCTACTTGAATTTGTGTGTGCTATGCTAAGCTCGATCCGACTACTGACATTGTCTCTTGAGCACACAAAACTGCAAGTGTGACTACTCCCTTTCAATCTTGCAAGTTGTACGAGACACGTCCCTTCGTCCTCATCCCGATCGGTCTTGCATGGAAACTCACACACCTTAGCTTGCTCACTCAAAGGTAGCACTTGTCATTCGACCCTCCCCTTACTCTTGTGCTGTCTCACAAAATTGATTGGAAACAATTTGATGTTGCTCGCTTGCATGTTCTCCCTTGCTACTTCTCATGCGCTGCACTTTGATTCCCGCATGTGTTCGACAAACATCGCAGCACTTGATTTCATGGATTCCAGTCATTCCATCTACGTCACCTGTGCTCTCTTATTCTGCTATATTTCTCGTTCAATTTGCCTCCAGCCTTCTCTTCCCATCTCCTCTTACAAGCACAGCAATAACCTCCCCCTGCTCCGATTCATATTATCCCCCCTCCCCCTCCCCCTCCCCCTCATGCACTGCACTTCAATTCCCGCATGAGATCCACAAACATTGCAGCCCTAGCCTCACAAGCCGATTAATTATTTTTTATTGAAATGGAATGTTACAATCCCAGTCCCCTTTAGTGCCCAAGATTGTCTTACTTCTATTTTTTATTTTATTTTCAAATTATTAATTGCAAATAAATATAAAAAAGTGATCTCTTCACTTTCAAATATGTTGAATTTACTTCAAATTGCAATTAAAATATTTCTAAATACTTACAGCCCAATAACCCTAAAGCACAAGAAAATGAGTACAAACTTTTACTGCATAACAGAGAAAATAAACTGAAAATAGACTGAATAACAGATCAAAGGCACCTTCCCAATGAGGATGATTTTTTGAGAGTTCTTCTCAACAACAATTTCAACTTGAATAAAGTCCTTTGCAGTAGGCCTACAAATGTAATTGACAACGTTTACCTGTAGGATGACTAAGGGCAGAAATGAGAAACATTCTTTTAAAATAACTGAGGTGAGGTACATTTTGTACGGCAATATGTAGCTCTGTAAATTTACCTGGCATGCATATGGCACTTCGTTTCTATACTGCATGAAGATCTTTTCCCTTACAATTTCTGCAATAAAGAACCTTTCAGGGTGTTCGCTGACTATGTCCTGTAATTGAGAAACAGGAAATAGATAAAATTTTTGGATATATGGTAACCATAAAAAATGTGTTTTTAAACGAAAAGGTAAAGGTGGTGGTGTCGGGGGTTTATCTAGGATCTGGACCATACGTTTCTCCAAGACCCATGTAACATTATTTCCATCATGGCATCTCATTATTGCTTCAAGAGACATCGTAATAAAACATTTAAGCATAAAACGATAAAGTGCATCAATCTTTCAGTTTTGCCCCGCATAAATTTCTATGCCAAAATAATATGGCACCTGCCAATCAAATGGCCTGCCCTTGCCGAAAGAGTTCTTCTAATTACATAGATAAAGTAATAAGTATGAACACAATGTTAGAATGATTTCAGAAATTAGGTCTAGCCTAATGAAAGATCTATAAGTGTATTCTTAAAAGACAAATATATATAGCTATACTAATTAATTCTATAGAATCTATAGTCCTAATTAACAAAAGTTTAATTATGGCATATCACTATGGCATACATTGTAGAATATCTCCCTTCAAATTGATGATAATTTTGCAAGCAGCATCAATTTCCCAATAAAGAACTAATGTCATTGTAATGTCAAAGCCTTCGTAAATATGTCGGCAATCTAAAATTTTGTAGGAATGCGTCAGAGAAATAACAATGATAATCAAAAGTTTTTAAAATTAAATGACAGCCAATTTCAATATGTTTTATGCGCTCGTGAAAAATTGAATTCACAGAATTTTGAATTGCATTTGTATTGCCCATATGAGGTCTTTCTTCTTAAGACTTTGAATGACCCTATCATTACTCCCAATCTTTTTGTGTCAGCCATCTCAAGCTCCAAAACCTCTACTACTAGAGTGGACATGAAATTGTGGCGGTCCCCACTCCTACCAATACCACTACGTCTTGCTCTTTGATTCGTCTCCCGCGGTTTCATAGTGTGGTTTAGTGTGAACTTCACCATCGAGTTCAATGAGACATTTGTCACATCTAAGTGAGGGTGTTCCTCCACCACAACCTCCTATGTTTATTCTTCTCCCGCCTCATCCTCATCACATACCATGAGAACCTGCAATGCTGATCCTTGGAATGGTGTCCAGGGGCAAACTTTTCATCCATTGAAAGCATAATACATTAGCTAGTTTCTCTTTAATCTTTGCCTTTGTAAGGCATTTAAATGGCCCTACCATTTGGCACCAAATATTCCTATCTTATGGATCCTCTTTCTGGTATCCCAAAGTTTGAGTTCTTCATATCGCATGGTTGTAGCATTTTTAGATAGCACTCCACTTGTGTTGCTCCTATTAGCTACTTCTATTGTATTTTTATCTTCAACCAGCTGCTCTAATTCTATTATTTCTCTTAATTCTCACGGTTTGTATTTGCCACATTTGTATTTTGGCATGTTATTTTTATCATAATTTTGTGTTTTTGTACGGGGAAGGTCTTTCTTTAAAATATTCAAATGTATGGGGCTGATTTTGACACTGTAGAATATTCAAATGGTGAAGGTCTTTCTTCTCTTGGGCTTAAAGAGCACTTACGTGATATTGGATATTATTGTAGTCTTAGAGGAGACGAAGATGAATTATAAACACCTGATAATAAAGTTTCAAGAGGAAGACAAGAAGACAAAACAATTGTGCTTTACAATGACCCAATTTTGTGCAGGACTTTGTTGATGCTCAAGACTATGGTTAAAGCAATTCAAGATGCAGAGCAAAAATTCTTGGTTAAGTTGCATAGCATGGAAGAGACACATGATCTAGAGTTGGTAGAGATTACGGCACCGGTCCAACACATCTTATAAAAGTTTGCAAAATTTTACAATTTTTCATGTTGATTGCCTCTTCGGAGGGAACCCAAGCATGTGATAACTCTGAGATCAGGGTCTCTCTCATCAATGTACGCCTATACCACTACCCCCAATTATAGAAGGACGTGATCGAGAGGGATCCAAGAGATAATGGAGATAGGGACATACAGCCTAGTGTGAGCCCTTTCTCTAGCCTAATCTTGCTAGTAAAGAAGGATGTGAGTTGGTATTTCTGTATGGATTAACAGGTACTCAATAAGTAAATAAAATCTAATAAATTTCTCATCTTGGTGATTGATTAACTATTGATTGTACATGTTATTTAGAAATGGCAACCTTATTTGTTGGGATGGCATTTTATAATACACAAGGATCAGCGAAACATTAAATTTATGTTATAAACTCCAGCACAAGTCCATAATTATGACCAAAACACAAAAAAGGAACAAAATAGATGAGTAAAGAAGCTATATGCCAAGATTGCTAAGGAAGCCAAAAACTGTAGAAGTTGAGCATACACCAACTGCGGAGGAATACGTACCAATGAAGTTATCTCAAATGGTCTGAGATAGTAGATTTAGATACACTACACCTTATTTTCATATTTATCCATCACCGAAAAAGCCGGCACAACCATTGTACCCTTACCATCAGATCGAGTCAGATGATCAATTGGTGAGATGTAAACAAATGAACTGACAGAATTTTAGCACTTTCAACAACTGAGAACAAAGCCCGTCAACATACTGGAGGGTTGGAACTTTACATCGATGTTTGCAAGACATAGAACAACAGAAAATCATCCAGTCTGTATACAAGTTCCAATAACAGATTAGTTAGGGCTTGGTTAGGAGGCAAACATACTCAGAGCCAAAGAAATAGATGAATGGTAAAAGTAGAGCCAATTTATAGTTTAGGTGTTGTTATCAGCTGTCTCTCAAAAGAGAATTTCTATTTCCTTCCAAAAGATGTGAGACTCTAGGTTACCTTAAAACTACAATCCGGATCCTAAATTGTTGAATATAGTCTCATTCAAAGTCTCAGAATAGGGGTCCATAAAGTTGTTAGAGTTGTTATCCACTTTTAATATGTATATATGTGGTTGTTATATGTGATTTCCTAAAATATATGTTATGAATTCAGCTGGATGTTTCTATCTTGTGAAAACATTTTGTACGAGCATTGCGTGGATTTTCATAGGACTAAAAGATGTATATTTCTACCTCTTCTAGATGGATTGGTGAGGACTTTTGAGAGATATGTGTAAGATATTGTACGAGCATTGCGTGGATCGGTAGGACACTTTGCTGGATGGATTTTCATTTTTCTTTCAGTAAAAAAAAGCTAAGTATTATGTTCTTTATTATTTTATAATTTTTGTAAACACTTTCTAGTGATTTGTTTTGATTTAATAAAGTTTTCTGTTTTATTTTATCCATATTTCGTGAGTAGTTTTCTTTACTATTTTCTTTTGATATGAAGTAGTGGCAAGGGCAGGAAAATTTATTTTAAAATATAATAATTTTTATTTCTATGTGATGAGTAATATCTCTTTTGTCGCATTGACATAACTTAAGTGACAATGGGTTATGTTAAAATATGTTGTGAGTGAAACTGAGACTCGGAAAAGATGTGATCTTGCATCTTGAGTCACTCACATTGTCTGGTTGGCTACATTAAAGTAGTTCAGGCAGTCAATGCAACTTTTAAGGAAATATAATTCATGATATATTTCTATTAGGAGCTTCTAGGTAACAGCTAGTTGTATAAAACTAATAAAATACTAATAAAATACTAAGCATACAAAATACTAAGCATACATATACACTCGAAAGAGAGTAGGCAGACATATGTTCCTTGTTGACACATAATTTATTACATAATTCTATCAATTCTGTTACCGTTTATGCCAACATCTTCATTTTACTTTTCTTTTGCAATAAAATAGATGTATGTTTAGGACGATTTGCTTAAAAATTCTCTTATTTTATTAATGTGATAGTATTTTCACTGATTCTTAATTTACATTGTAAACTGATCATTTGTAATGTTAAAATCTATTAAACAATATAATAACCTGAAAGGCCAATAATTTCACCAACTAGTCGGTACCACACTATCCCTTAGGATAGAGGAGAGTCAAGTCCAAGGGCGAGTACAATAGATGGGGAGATAAGTTTTGATGAGGATAGAATTGGCAATTCTAGAGTGACAGAGTAGAATCTTAACCATTTTAGTCTTTAATTCGGAACCCAAGACCTGGTTAATCCCATAGAAAGGACACAGCGAGTAATCTGGAAGTGAGAGGCTAGAATCTACTCAGCATAATCATATCAATTAGGAATTTAACTTTAGATTAGTCAATTTTCTTTATGCACTTGAGAGAGGGTAGATAATAGTTATGCTCCTATTTGTCACTGGTCACATTAAATTCTAAGCATTTCATTCGTACGCATTATCTAGGTCGTGGCACATGAAATATAGTTTTTAACATCTCGAAAGTCTCCAAACCAATTTCTTTAGTTATGATTACTTTAGATATAGGTTCGTAGTTAGGATTAGTTGATAGAAGATATTGTTAAACGTCATTCCAAACAAAGATCTGACATTAGCAAACTAGAACTAGCCTATGAGATTCTTACCTCGCTTCTCTGTGGGATCAATACTCTGGTCTTAAAAAAAATTATATACTATTTGAAACAATACGTGCACTTGCGTGATACCCCTAGTGTACGATCTATAAATTAAATTCTAAACTCTACAACATATTTGTTTTGCATACTAGCCGCTATAATTAAACTGGGTTAAGTTTTTTGCCATGGAACTAAATATTTGCGTAATCGCGGCTCGGATCAAGTATTTGGAGTCGTCTCTGAAGTTTTAAATTGAAGTAATTACACATATATGTATGAGCACATTTTAGGGGGCAACCAAATTTTTAGCGTCGTTACTGGAGAGGTTACGGTAAGAACTTTAGGAGAATTTTAGTTGAATCTGAAAAACTTAGAATTGGAAATTATAGTATTATTATCTAGTGTGTTTAGTTATTATGAGTCTATTTATAAAAAAATTCAAAATACCAAAAATATTTTTGAATGTTTGAATTATTGGATATCTGTCATAGTAGTTTGAATGTATAGCTCAGGAGCTGCAGAACTTGAACTGTATGACTTAGAATTAAAAAGAACTTTTAGGAGGATTAGAAAACCCCCAAGGAGAAAGTGGTGATGGATTGAAATATGTATAACCTTGAAATTCATCAAGATAACAACGTTGAACCAAACGCTTCGTAGGAGGCAAACCATAGTTATCTATGTTAGTATGTGAGTTGTAATTATTTGTGGTGTACAGTGTTTGTTTTATTATAGATTAATCAATTTGATTGATGTTGGTGGATGATCAGATTGTTTGTGGATTGATTTAAACTGTGTAACATGAGGTATGTGA